TATGAATAAAAAAAAATTCTTTTTAAACTACCTATTTTGCATTTTATATTTTAGTACAAATACAATTATGATAGTCTTACATATTTTTCCCGAGTGTTATTTTTTATAATTAAAATATACAAAAATTTCATTTTGTTTCTAATTAGAAGTGTCGGAAAAAAATATATAAGAGGAATCTGGGGTCTCATCTGCGATAAAGAGTTTAAGAAGATTGTAGTCACCTAAACGCTTAAATATTTAGTGTTTAATTATTTTAATGCATGGAAAAAGTACTTGTAGTTATCACCAGGGAAAGGAAATGACAATTATGTTTTAGTAACATTTCCATTATTAGGTTGGATATAAAAATTAACTATGCTATTTAACTATTATAAGTAACTAATATCATTTTATAATCTAAAAGCACGCATACTTTTCAAAATTGCAGTAATTTTTTTAAATGTCTTTTTTTTTTGTTAATTGAAGAAAAAGGGAAAATAATGGTTCATAAGCTAATTTAGAGAAATAATGTATTCGTGCGATAGTAAGTACCGTTTTTCTCCAGAACCGATCATCTTCATCATGTCATATTAGAAGAACAGATTTTATACGTTATTAATTAGCAAAAACTTAGTAATCTCCAAAATGCAACTGATAGGAATCCAATCTTACATTTTGAGAAAAAGTAGCTTAAACCGTTTTTCCCTTTTGATCTTATCTTCAATTTCTATTTTTGCTTTTCTTATATTTTCATTAATGATAATACTTAAATATAACAGGCCGTAACATAAGTAAATAAATAATACAATATATTTACTTATGTTACTGCTAAAGTGTAGAAATCAATTACTCTACAGAATATCTAGCTAATAAGCAGGTAAATTAGGAACCATGAATGTGCCGAAAATTGCTTCCCTTATTACTAAGTACATTACTTAAATTACTTACCAAGCACATGACTTATCTTACTAACCAAGTACATTACTTACTTCGCACTCGTTAAGATGAAAATTAGATCATTGTTGGATCATCTGTACGCTAAATTTAACATATTGTTGTTTATTCATTTTTCGCTATCTAAGAATTAAAATTGTTACTATCCAAAAAATTAGCTGATTGGATCAAACTTCAATTATTTTTAAAACTTTAATGCTAAGAGTCGAACAGTTGAAAATATTATTACAATTAAGAAAATTAACTCACGGAGGAAAAAAAATCTTGTATAAATACCGTACTATATGGTAATGACATTTCTGGTGAAAAAAAACATAATTATCCGTTTTATAAAATCAAAATATACCGTATTGAAACCATTTTTTTAAACCTTTTCAATTCATAGGATAATGGACCGGAAATTTTGGTTTTTAAAATTATAGCTCTTATTACCACACACAGTTAGTAAATTATAGAAAACTGAAATTTAATTTCTACTAGATAAATAGTTTTGATATCATACTGTAAGGTTTCATGATAAAATTACCGAATTTTACCACATTTACCAAATTTTATCAAGCATTTTAAAGCCATATTTTATTGTTAATTTACCAAAATCATTAACAAAGTACTTTGGCAAAAATTACCGAGCTTTATGGGGTTCCCATAGAGCAAGAAACATGGAAAATGTTACCGTATTATGGTAGTTTTGACCATGCATTTTTTCTCCATGTATGATGTAGTTAATTTAGTTTTTAATATCTAAAGAATCAAGTCAAAACAATTATCAACAAATTAGTTGATTAAGTGAAAGAAACAAGGCTTCGAATTTGAACGATACGGAATCTGTTAATGTACATCTTACTTAGGCAAAGAGCTTAAATAACTTGATTCCCTTCTTAAACGGGGCGAATCAGATTATCAACAGGTTACTTAAGTACTGTCCAAATTAACGGCTTTCGAGCTCTAGTGGTCACATTTATATATTCGCAGCCGTTATTAAATTATTTTTTAAAATAATCAACATTGTAATACCTAAACCTAACTACAGTCCTTGAAATCAGCTAAGTTTGGATCATTGGAAAAGCATTTTCACTCTAGAAATATTTAAATTGCAAACTTTTTGACTATGTCGATATTATTATTACTAACATTAAAAGTATATCAAAAATATATCAATCATAGTTTGACAACATTTAAGCAAGTTGAAACTCTTTATTCATACTATTAAAAATACTCTGGAGGAAGTAAATTAAGACCATTTGGAGTCAAAATTTTATACCTGTCAGCAAAATCTCTGCCAATTTTATCTTCTTGGCGATAAGTTAAATGAAAAATGGGACGGATGAAGTGACATGCATTATTCTGTGCGTCAACTTCTTTGAATACAATACTGATTGAGTACCCAATCCATCTTCAAGGAGTTGACATTTCCTCAGAAAGGAAATAGAACTCTTTCGCCAAGACCACACTTAACGTCATACGTTTCAAAAATATGATAAAAAAGGGCAAAGAAAATGTTTGCCTTGTTGATATATTTTATGTTCATAGGGTTAAAATAGATTTAGATTTTAGACTTGCTGTAAAGAGATTTGTAAACAGAAAAAGAAAGTAAAAGAGAAAATAGCAATTTCCGTTTTATGTAGGTCTGCCTTTTTATCTTAGTAGAGATGGTGGTCTATCAGTTTTCCATTATAAAAAATATTTAGTTTCATTTTCATCAACTGGTATGTTATGCTTTGTGTTATACACTGTGAAAACCCCAGGATGAAATTACGATAAAAAGTACAGACACCCTGAGTGCCGGTACTTTTTACCGCAAAATCCATTTTCACCAAAACTTGTTACGTTACGAAAAATCTTATATACCGTACTTTTTACTCTAAACATTACCACAAAATCACTGAATTACTTTATAAATGAATATTACTGTTAAAATTACGGTATAATATTTTATGATGGAATGGATTTTCCAGATGATGCCCCCAAAGCCCCGGTACTTTATATCATAATTTGATCCGGAAATTTTTAAAATGTAAGTTTTTGAAATGAACTGATACGTATAAAGTTTGGCTAATTAAGAATGGGATAACGGGATAACTTTACCTAATTAAAGTTGATCAACTTTGAAATTAAAAATATTCAAAAAATTAAACTTAGTATTATTACCAAAAAAGAAATATTTTTAAAAATATAAAATTCTCCTTTTCCCTTCTGATCGCTACTATTTTTTTTATGTTACTTTATTTTGTCAATTTGACAGGACAAGGAAAATATAATATATNTATATATAATATATTGTACAGCGTTCAGAATTTTTTTTTTATTATCTTTTCCCAATATTATTACTTTTTAATATTACGCAATCATTCAGCACTTTAATAACTAATCACATAAATAAATAATACGGTTCACAATTTTCATTATCATTATTATATTTCAGTTTTTATCACCAATTAGCTACTTGAAACTCTAGAAGTAGTAAAGTGATTATGAGTAACCATGTAATTTAAATCAGATTTAATTGGATACCCATAAGTGACGTCACGCGTGTGTGAACTCTCTCGCCGTTTATCAATTGATTGAGAATTGGAAATTGAATAAGGACAAGAATGGTATGTTGACGATGAGTTTTTAAATTGGGAATTCTTTGGAAAGTCACACATCTTCTATGGCAAAAAATCTTCAAGTGATGTCCTTAATAAACATTTGCTTACCCAGCCTCAACAAAACGGAATTTTGTTCTTCCATACCTGTACTTGTTTAGGGTATTACACAGAAGACAAGCGAATAGCCAGATAAGGTGATGTTTCGCTGAGTTTGGGACTATATGACTTACAAATCTTTGTATTCTTAAATTTGGTTTTATGAAAATAACCTATTTATTAAATTTCTGGAATTCTCATGAATCGCCTTGGATAATTCAACCATTTCATGAAAATTTCATCTGAGTTTTAGTACTCAAGTCCAATTAATTAGGCTATAGATCATCTTCTTTTTCTTTGGTTTTTATTGAATTTCTTCATGGTAAATCTACGGAATATTAGTTACTTATATTAAGTGAATCTTTTACAGTTTAAAAATTTACCTGTTTAATAGAAGAATCTGAATCCCAATGAATGTCATTACAAACATTTGTTTCTTAATTCGCGAGATCTCATTTCTGATACGTTTTTATAATATCTAAAAATGCAAAAAAATATTATATATCAGAAATCATGTTATAACAATAACACTGAACCATACATTCTGCTTACTATGAGTTTAAAAAATCAATACTATTAATAAATAACACACATCTTATTATTAAATTTTTTTGACATTTTTATAGGCATAACGTAAAAGTATATTCCCCAAATTACGTGATTCAGTCTCATAACTTTATAAACATTGGGTAAAAAGAAATGTTATTCGAACTATATTTTATCTTAATTTTTTTTAAAACAAAATATATGAGACAGATTACATTTAACTGTTTCTTACATATAATAGTTTTAACTAAAAAAAATAATTTAATTTTACTTAGCTTAAAAACTTGGAAATTATATTTTTAAAAAATGCCTTTAATTTCACACATCTGCGCCATCTGTTAAAATCAAGAATAGCGTGACAGTTTGAGAGAAAATAGAAAAAAAATTATAATAGCGTAACTTAAAAAATGTTAAACAAAAAATAGTTTTTTTTTAATTTTAACACAGATTATTGAAACATTGTCAGTGAAACAGATGTGTTGTAAATCGATTCATTTTCCAAGCTAAAATATAACATTCTATGCAGTAATTTAAATTGTGTTTTAGTTATAAAATGATTCTTTAAGTTATGAAAGTATTCTTTAAGTATTTTCTGAAACCATATGAAAAATTCATTAGTATGGAAGTGTTTCCATTATTTGTACACCCTAGGTAAATGCCAATATAAATTTGCGTTTAACCTATTTGTTGCATGATATAAATTGAATAAATTGAATATGTTATATGATATAAGTTGAATGAATTGAGTATGTTATATGATATAAATTGAATATGTTATATGATATAAATTGAATAAATTGAATATGTTATATGATATAAATTGAATCTTCTTTTCAGGTCCTGAGGAACCACGAGTAAAAAATCCGAGATTTTCTTTAGAAGAAATAATAAACGGGGATTATGAACCCCGCTTTTTCAACGGATCTTGGATATCCGGTAAGATACTTCATTTATGTCATTTTTTACGCTCAACTAATTTTTAGTTTATAACTAAATTATTAATTAAACATTTTTAAGTATATAGTATGTAAATAATAGCAAAGTAATCTTTTGCTATGTTAATTATTTAACATTTAAAAAAGTACGAAAACCACCAAAATCACAATCTAAATGTCATCAAACTGTCAGAAATTCTGGATCGAAAATTATGCTTAAATGTATCGGCACTCAGGGTGCCGATACTTTTACCGTAAAATGTTACAGAACAAATTACCTGATATACGGTTATTTTTACTATAATAACTGTAAAGTCGCTGGATCTCTGTAGTTTAATAATTATTACAGGAAAATATACGTTACAAAATTTTACGGTAAAATTAATGTTACAGATGATGAACCAAGGGTGCCGAAACTTTTTTTAACCGTAACATGATCCGGAATTTCTTACAGTTTACTTCTAATTGCATACAATGTCAAATTCAGAATAATTTATTTTACAAATAGGCTGTTAAGGAATTAGAAAAATATTTAAATGAATTAAATTCAATTTATGCACAAAATGAATATTTAAGAAAAAATAAAGTTGTGGTAAATTTAATCTATGCGATAGAAATATTTCAAAAATCCCTTAATTTAATTCTGAAAAATAAACAATTAATAGTTTAATGATTATCTGAAATATGTGTGTTTTTAACACTTTCAGACGTTTTTAACGCATCAATTAAATTATCCTTCTACTCAATATAACAAAACTTTATTAAACTAACCAATGAAGTGAGGAATTAGTGTTACTCCTCAAAAGTTTTAAATTATATGTAACGCTGTTTTTTAATTAATGTTATGCTGTTTTTATATTCATTGTGAGTTTGTAATAGTGAATCATGACTGTGTTTATTGAAGTTTTTTCCATCGTTAGCCAGCATATTACAAAAATAGCCCAAACTATTATAAAAATAGCTTAAAATGTTATTTTGAAAAAAAATCCCACAGTGTTGTAAAATTCAGAAGCATTTGGGATTTTTTTAATATTTTAAAAGTTACTCCAACGCCATATTTGTTTGGACTCGCAAAAATATTAAGACTCCAAATTTATCCTTTTATTTGAAATCATGCATGATTGTACTTCAGAGCGTCTATCGTCCCATAAAAATAAAGCTTTTCATATATATACATTATTTTTAATTAAAGTTTAGAGTTTGTAACAGTTATTCATTATTATTAGACAAATCTTTGTCTTCTATAATAAATATAAAAATGTGATTGTGAATCTTACATTGTTTTTTCTGCTAATTATGAAAATAGTGCCAAATATAATTGTGAATAAAGCAATTATGTTGGATATATTATTATAGCAATTAATACAGTTTTGAGAAAATTAAAATCATTTGAGTTCTAATTTTTAAGATTTTGATAAGTTATTCTATCACAATGATTTTTATTTAGGCGGAAAAATCTTCTCAAGATAGATTTTTTAAAACGATAAACAATAGTTCGAATATAACAAATTTTCGTTCTTTTTAAAGTCAAGAAATTTTTTTTTGGTTCATGGTATATATAGTTAAAATGTAAGCAATTGCTTCAAAATCAGCTTACGAAAAGCTGAAGATGTCACTCCTTTAAAATAAGTCGGCGAAAAAGCTTCGAAAAATACTCTAAATATAGTTTATCTCTAAAGAAATAAATTGAAAATTTCTAATTTTTAAGTTTAGTATTTTTTTTAAAATAAAGCTATTTATCCATCACAAAGTCCATGCATTTTTTGTTTCAAATTGAACTTTTGCTTCAAATTTAAGGTACTCGAGAAAAAAAATTTTAAATTTTATTTGGCGAAATAGTTTTTTTTAAAAAAAAGATTCATATTTGCTTACTTGTTTTAGTTCAGGGGACCATTGTGTTGATGAAGGGTGAAAAAATTCAACAATTATTAATGATAATAAATTCAATTTGGAATTTAAGAGCTTTAAAGGGGACAAAGATTTTTGATAAGCAGTCGATGTTTGTAAATTAATGCAAAAATAATATAAAAATTCATAAATGTGATGTGATTTAGCTGTTGATAATCAATGTCTTTTTTTCTACATCTAGATACAGAAGTGACCTTCCGAGATCCGGATGGTGCCATTGTTATTTACAATGCCGAAACGGCTGAGAAAACAATCATAGTTAACAATATAACCCTGGTAAGTAAACACATAAAGGTTTTAACAATTACATATTTACACTAGTGTCATTACCAAGCATATAGATTTTTAAAAAATTTGTAAAATTTCTATTTTGGTTAAAAACTATTAATTTTTGAGAATTTAAAATTAATAAAACTAATTAACTGCATTTTCCAAAAATTATATGCACTTGATAGTATGATCAGAATATTTCAATGTATATTTGCTACAGGAATTGTGGACAATTTTGATGCCAAAATTATGTTAGTAAATGGATTCAAAATTAATTATAAGCGATGTATCATTGAAAGTTTGTCACAAAAATTGTCGGACAATATGATGCCAAGAAATACGTTTGTAAATGGATTCAAAATTAATTAATAGCGTTTTTTTTAAAGTAAGAATATAAACTTAGCCAATTAATATTATTTTTAAGTGAAATGATTGAATTTTAAGAAAGTTAATGGGATAGATGGATGATACTCAAAGTACCGCCTTGCTAACTTCATTTCATTCGCCTATAAACATTTATTCCATTATTTTTTATATAAAATTGAGTTGAGGTTTATATTGCATTGATAAGTTTTTTAATATAAAGGTTTTCCATCAAGATTAAATAAGGAATGCTTATTCTGCAAAAATAATCATAACTTACTTCTTGCAATTTAAAAAAATATATTTTTATATTATCCTTTTATCATAAAATATAACTCATTACTTTCATTTGAATCAGTAATCTTACCATGGGAGTTGAAATTAATTAATTTTAGATATTCCCTTCACAACTACCTTTGACATTTACACAGAATACAAATACCGTTTCATGATTGCAGAGATGTTTCAATTTTATAAAATTCTCGTTTTGAACTCTCATCACCAACGCATTTTAAATTATAATGCATAGTAAAGGAGGCTAACCTTTAGGGAAAAAAGTAGTAATTATTTGTAGCAATTCATAGCTACTGCATGAGAAATAAACTAATAAATGTTTTCAAACACCCCTCTCATATCTTATAATCGAAAAGTATTTTTAAAATAATTTATGAATAAAAAATACAAAATTTAAAATCAGTTACTCTTTCTTATTTCAAGGAATATTCTTTGTCCTACGCATAAATAGATATAAAAATAGATCAAAAATATTTTACTTGATAATATTTTCTTTTAAAAATCAAAGTGCGGTTATGCTATACTATGCCTAGTCATAGAATAGGATGTCTGGTGTTTTTAGACAAAGTATGAAGCATCATAGTTACTATTAACATTGCCTAGTTATTGTACAGAATGCTTTTAGATTTAATTTTTCTTTAGTTTTTCAAGAAAATGCTTAATAATAATCATAATAATTTCATACTTTAAAGAGAAAAGAATGCGTGACCAATACTACCACTGATAAAATTTATCGTGTCTCTGGTTCCTCGGAAACACCAAACTACTCTGAAATTTTTACCGAAACACTTTCCTAATGACTTTGATGTTATAACAATAAAATATTGTTTTATAGTATTAGATAAAATTTGCTGATAAGGTAAATTTTGGGTATTTTATCATGATACTTTAGAGTATAGTTTAAAAACCATTTATTTTGTTAAACTAACTATTCAATTTGTATTTTTTACTAAATGTGTAGTAAAAGGAACTATAATTTTGGAAAACAGAATTATAAATCAATAATCAATCGAAAATAATCAATAAACGTGAAATAATTATTAAATAAAAAATAATTTATAAATAAAAATCAAAGAGCGCAAAGAGCAAAGCAAAGAACAGTACACTTCAACTTAAGTCTCTGCTTCTTGCATAAAAAGATGTGGTAAAATTTTTTCATATATCAAACATAAATAAAGTTCGTTGCTTCAAGACCAAATGGGGAACTCTTTTTTTTTGTTAAACTTTCTTCTTTGTTTTTCGTGCTCATCATTCCATCATTTTTTTTCTCTTCTGATGGCGGAAACTTTAATGGCTCCTCGCTCGTTTCACTCTTTATGGAATAGTTTTTTTTTCTTTCTGTACTTTCTTTCTATTCCGATCATACTTTCAATCCAGACGCATCTGAAGTGTTTTGCAGAATTTTAAAATATTGCCTTCATGACGTAATCGTATTAAAGATGGCTAGATTGCATGAGGTAAATATGTGTGATTACACATTATTTTGTCATAGAAGTCATATTGTAATATATGTAGTAAAGTGAAATATCGAAAAATATGAAAACCTTTCACAGTGTCACATGAAAAAAAAAAAAAAAAAAAAAAAAAAAAAAAAAAANAAAAAAAAAAAAAAAAAAAAAAAAAAAAAAAAAAAAAAAAACTGGCGAGTTATTATTTCTATCTCTATAACATCGCAGAATACATCTGCGCTTTTTTAAACTCCGGCATAAGAAATTTATAATTAATTTTGAAAGCAATAATTCTTTTAGAGAGCTTTATTCTTTATGAAGAACTTGTAGCAAAAAAAAAGACGAAATACTAAAATTTTATTTATTTCGTATTTAAAAAAACTGCTAACTGTATCAAGAATATACATATAATATTATAGCA